TAATTATAAATAATTCAATAGAATGCAGATTATATACAAGGTGTTCTATTAAAAACAAAGTTCTTACTCGCAACGTTAATTTAAATATACCGGAAGATTAATAAATGCAACATTTGTGTCGTTTTAAAGTGAGACAAAATATACTAAATTCAGTAAGATATAAAGTTATCTATGTACTACGGGAATTATAAACTGATAATAATCTCGGGCAATCGTTACCCTCGGAAATCAATTTAATTTGAGCCAGAAAATTACAATAATAAAACAGTAAAATATATCTAAAATTGGACATCTTGTATACTAACTTATACTAAGTTAAAATGTCAAAGACTTGGATGGTAAACAATTTTTATTCAAGTTGTTTATAATAGTTCAGTCATTGAGGATCAAAAAAGGGGCCTGCTTGGAAAGAAGTCCGGAAGTTTTGAAACTTTGCAGGTTTATAAGTTTTGTTGTCCCTAACTAAAATCCATAAAATGCACATTTCCAGACTTCCAGCCATCTTGCCAAGATGGCGCCCGAAATCGGTATTTTGTAAATATCTCGAAAACTATGCGTTTTTCGTAAAAATTTGAAGAGAGAAAAATTAAAGAGAATAAAATTTCCTATAAAAAAGGTTCTATGAAAATTTTCGCGAAAGTCAACCGTTTAGGCACAAAATCGCTGGAAATTTTACAATTTTGCGTAAAGTATGATATACATATGTATAGTCGATTTTCCGAAACCAAATGTCAATTAGGGTTCACTAAAACTAGTTTTAGTTTAGTTTCTTCAATTTTATCATAAAACAGTGGCGTATCATTAATTCGCTCATTAATTTATGAATAATTACTTGTCGTGCTGGACAGCATTCATTGCGAACTTACCACCAGGTTCAGCATTGGTCTGGTTGTACCAAAGATGCCGAAGAATGGGGTTGGAAGAAAACAAAAACAGGCATTATTCCAGTCACAACGTTGACAGATCCAGCTCCAAAATCCCTATTGGCATTTTTATCCTGTAAATGCAAAACCAACAACTGTGATAAAGCCTGCGGATGCAGAAAATCCGCAATGGGAAATCCTGTGACAATGTCACTGAAGTGTCACTCGACGAATCCGATGAAGAGGAGTTGGACTTGCCTGTAGATATCCCTCTGGCGGGTGAAGATAAAGAGTTGGACGAATTGAGAGACCACTCTGATGAGCCCAGCACAGCAGACACGATCGACTTTACATCGATGAGCCAGGTCCGTCGGGATTGTGCAGATAAGTTAAAGTTTTTAATTTACCTAGTGGAATAGGCCTCCGGGAAGACCACGTTAAAATAAACGCGCCATTTACTTTACCTCTTGGGTGGTGTGGAAACAAGTACACATTTTCAATAATTAAAATTAATTATTCATAAATTAATGAGCGAACTAATGATACGCCACTGTTTTATGATAAAATTGAAGAAACTAAATTAAAACTAGGTTTAGTGAACGCTAATCGACATTTGATTTCGGAAAATCGACTATACGTAATATAATCATATTTTACGCAAAATTGTAAAATTTCCAGGGATTTTGTGCCTAAAAATTTTCATAGAACCTTTTTAATAGAAAATTTTATTTTCTTTAATTTTGCTCTCCTCAAATTTTTGCGAAAAACGCATAGTTTTCGAGATATTTACAAAATACCGATTTCGGGCGCCGGCGGCAAGTCTGAAAATGTGCATTTTAAGGATTTTAGTTAGGGACCCCAAAACCTATAAACCTGCAAAGTTGCAAAACTTCCGGACTTTTTTCCAAGCAAAAATCCCCAATGACTGAACTATAATCATTTTTCTTTGGTTGTACATCGACCGACGGTACTAACCTTGCATCGACATGCACTACAACAAAATTCTTTCGGAGAAATAATTGACCAAATCTGTCGTACTACTTCCAGCTTGCAGACTTTCTACTTATAAACAACGGCATAGATTCTCCGGTAACTATTCCAATCGACAATAGTTTACAAACAATAACAAAATATTTCATAGAACCAATACCGTAGAATGAGAATGTTTGTGAACCCTGATTCACAATAATTATTAAGTTCTTTGTGTATCTCGATTGATTGGGACTTATTAATAAGAATAATAATAAGTACAACAGTTCAGACCGAAGTTTTGTAGTCAATATCTAAAATATTACATAAAATATCCCATGCACACATTCTCCAGTTATTAGTCTAAATAATTTTATGACCTTGGAAACACCTACTCCATTCTGTATATTACACATTCGTTTATATAATGTAATTTTTAAGTCTGTACCGTAGATTATGATTGAGTTATTTTTAACTTGTTTTTTATGTCGAAATAAAAAAAAAACTACTCATAGTCATATGTTTCCTGTAGGTTCATGTCAATCAAATTCGGAAAAAAAGCTTAGTGTAATATATGAGCAAAAAAGCATTTTTTTTTCAAGCGTTATAAAAGTATTAATTTTTGCGAGGTGATTGGCAAGATAAAAAGATCATTTTAATGCCTAAAGTAAAGCACTTTTACGCCTAAGCACAAAAGTACGAAAATATATTATTAAACTGACATTAAGTATCAATTACAGTTGAGGAACCTTTGGTGTTTGGAACCACCACAATACACCAAAACACTTTTACTTTTACACTGGACGCGCGTTTCGCTAACCACGTTAGCATCATCAGCAGATGATTATAAACTAAAGTACAATCTACAAAATCTTGGCAAAATCTAGCCAACCGAGTCAGAGCCCATTTCAATGGGCTCTGACTCGGTTGGCTAGATTTTGCCACGCCCACTCGGTGCCCACTGAACGAGTATATAAACGCTCAACTTGTAGGTTGTACTTTAGTTTATAATCATCTGCTGATGATGCTAACATGGTTAGCGAAACGCGCGTCCAGTGTAAAAGTAAAAGTGTTTTGGTGTATTGTGGTGATTTAGTGTTTTATTTTGATTAAGTATCAAATTCAACGAGTGTACCCATTGCATAAATAAAAGAAAACCATCTATTAAGATAGATATGAAACTTGATAGTAAAATTTTAGATCAAAGCGCCTCTCCGTGTCCTTAGTCAAGACTACGTTTTACCCAGCGACTTTTCTTCTCTAAATGTTTTTTTTTATATTTATTTATACTTAAATTCAAAGGATTTACTCTGGAAGTTACTCTGATATATTAGTATATTAATCAGAGTAACTTTAATAAAACATAATAATAGATAAATTTTACAATTTATTAAAAATAAATTTTATCAATTAAATCACAATATTTTTGATAAAAGTTTCAAAAGTATATAGTTAACAGAAATATTGTATAAATACTAGCTGGTGCCTGCTCACCTAGCGGTCAACAAACATCTGGAACGATATTTTTTTTTATATGTGGAATGTTTCTTTGACTAGTAACTGCAAAATTAAACACTTATTTTATAAACATAATAATTTTACAGAAAAATATTCATACGAGTGTCATAATACAGTTTTAAAACTTTACCTTTTGATTTTGAAAGCGTTTGTATATCCATAGATATCAATTTCTTATTCATTTCAAAAACAAACAGGTATTTTTTCGACGTAGGTCCAAATTTAATAAAACTATTTTTTACTATTTCTCATTGACAAATTGATAATTATGTCAAATACATTTAACAGACATTATATTTATATATATACTAGCGTGTACCCGCGACTTCGTTTGCGTCAAATTAATCATTTGTAATGGTGATGATAAAGCAAAGCAAGAATTTCCATTAACATACAAACTGGATAAAACTTTCTCACATTTATATCAGCATGAGAAAAAACAATCGAGAAAACCCCTCCTTATAGAACCTCTACACCCCACAGTCAATCCGTTTGCCAAAAATCAGCTTTAAACGTCAAGCAGTTTAAGCAGAATCGTGATTACTCAATGGTCATATTTTATGAAACACCCTGTATAATTTTTTAAAAATCTTAAGATATGTATAACAACAAAATAAAATATACGTGTTTAAGACTTTTTCCGAAAAACTCACCGGTTTCTAAATAAAAAATATTCTAATATTTGAGGGGTGGTTTCACCCCCTTAGAATTCAAGTTTCGAAAAATCCCTTCTTATCGAACCTCTACACCCTAAAGTTAATCTTTTTTCCAAAAATCAGCTTTTTACATCAAGCGCTTTAAGCAGGATCGTGATTAATCAATGACCAGATTTTTCGAAACACCCTGTATACATTTTTAAAAAAAATTAAAATATGTAAAAAAACAAAGTAAAATATACGTGTTTAAGCGTTTTTTAAATAAAAAATATTGTAATATTTGAGGGGTGGTTTCACCCACTTGGAACTGGAATTTCGATAAATTCCTTCTTATCGAACCTCTACACCCTAGAATCAACCTGTATGCCAAAATTGAGCTTCTTACGTTGAGTGGTTTGAGCAGGATCGTGATTAATCAATGAGTCAGTCACTTAAGGATTTTATATATTAGTATAGATATGTAATATTCGGAGTAAAAATGCACTTTTGTGATTCTCCTGTAACGTCGCCTGTCAAACCTACAGCCTCGCCAAAAAAAGTACCGTTTTTACTACTAATAAAACAATATACTCTTATACATATATTATACGTAACAATTGTATAATGCCGTTAAAAACTGAACAGCTTTGCGTGTCTTCCGTTTTGTGAAACATACTTAATTACTATTCTTGCAGCATAGTTCTGACAACTTTTACTTAAAAACGTTTTTTTTTTGTCTTACGAAATGCCAATACCGTTTTGTTTTCTTAAATCTAATTTTGCAATTCATGTATATAGTCATACAAAGAAAACATTTCAAATATTTTTTTTTGTAAAAACATAATTCTAATATTTTCACCACAGATTATTCAGTACCTGCTGGTACTAAAGCCGAGCGGTTTAGACCCTAGGTCGAATCTTTAACATCGAAAACCCCCTTCATTGCGATCTTCCCCATTGGTTTCATCTTTGTGAAAGACTGTTAATTTTACTAACGATATTTCTTCTATTTCAGACACCTAAAGGCTGAACTACAAAGCCTTCGTCGCAAAGGAGCGCTGAAAGTGTCCGAGGACTCGTACCAAGATCCGGACAGAACATGCGGTCGATGCAGAGCGGACCTGGGCAGAGTGATCAATCGCGGAGCTTCCTGCACCTCGTGTAGACTCAAGGTGTGCAAGGCGTGTAGAGAGTACAATTTCAGAGCTACCGATTGGGTCTGCACAGTCTGCTATAAACGAATGTAAGTCCAATCAACTGCTAGTTTTAAATTATTAAATTATGGGGGGATTTTTATTGGCGTTTTTTTCCAAAACGTGGCGGTATCTGTACTCGAGGCAAAGGATTTTTTTTCATAAATCTCAGTAAAATGAATAAACCTAGAGTATTGTTACGATGATATTTCTTTAATTACATCTCCTTTTATGTTATGTTGATATATATTTCACAGAATTAATATTTGAACACGCGGTTATTGTATGTATAGTAGATATTTAGGAACAAAACTTTTCACTTAAATTGCAGAAATATATTTACAATATTTTTATGATTTAATTTTATTATAATGAATTAGTATATAAAATTGTATATGATGTGTTTGTTTACGGCCTTAATTGATTAATATAACAGTAGTATGGCTTGATGAGTAATACTGGTAACATTATCAACATATCCGCTTGGGAAAATTATTAATTGACCCGGTGTCAACAAAAGTATGGTCCACGGACATTATTTAAAAGCAATGTTCTTTTATTGTTCTTAAGAGAAATCTGTAAACGATACTTTTATTAGCACCTATCATGGTTTGATATAAATCCATTCAACTAGTACCGTATGACCGAAAAAAAATGGCGTCCAGTTGGCTTGGAAATGACGATCGATGACATTTCCCATATAATTTTACATATAAAATGACAGCGATCTTCATTTCATAGCCATCGCTGACGCCGTTTTTATTCCATCATACAGTATTTATTATGCAGGGATTTAGACAATTGAAATTAGACAAACAAAACCAAATTTGTAAACTAAACGTTGCTACAGACTACAGTATAAATGTTACTTTACCATAACCAGAAATAATAAATAATTAGACGATATTTTAAATAATTTTGTGTATATTTTGTTCATGAGGCGCAATACGGTGGATTATAAGTCGATCAATGGTAGACCGCTAGTCTACATATATAAAACGCTAATGTTTATCTGTGTCGTCTCTACTGAAGTAACGACTTGCTCTAGAAAGTTACTTTTTTACTAAAAGATAACTAATTGGCTCTTCTAAAAACTGTCGTCGCCGGATTTTTGTTTTTCATTTAATTAAAAAAAATAAAAAGTATTTTTTCCCCTTATGTCGTGGCGGACGCGCCAGGCTTCAACTAGTTAGTTATAAAACACATTATTATGTTCCGAAGCTTTTTTTGTGGTTCTTCTGTAAAATTAGTAAAATGGCGCTTATAATGTTTTTCCTCTAGACCCTTCATATTATGTTTTGAACCTATTTGGTAAGCTCTAGTAAGAATGGGCGTTTTTCCAGAAAATAATTTTCACATTTTATTTTTCTGCTTCGAGATGAAAATTGGACAAATTTTATTGTTTCCATTATTTCCATTTTGGTACAAAACGTCGACAAAGCAGACAGCGCATCGGATTAACACATTTGAAAAAATCCAGAACACTGTTAATTAAAAAAGGGATTAGCTAGAAGGGCATAATCCACGGATTCTGATGGTTTCGGTTTTCATACGTTTTTTTTTTCGTTTTTCTACATTTCTTTCGATAATCCTAACTTTTTTGAAGCTGTTAATATAATAATTAACTGTTGAGCTACCTACAGGGTGAGTTTCCTACGATGTTCTCTATGGGTATCTCGGAAACTACTGGAGATAGAGAGTCGGTTAAATGGGGAAAAAATTGCAGTTTTGTGGGGTCATAAATATGCGTCTTTCAGATTTTTGAAAAAGTTCATGGCTCACTAGATATTTCGAAAAAAAAACAAATTTCGGCTATTTTAAAAATTGTCCCTAATTCCATTATAAGCTATTTTAGACAAAAAGTTTTCAGATAAAAGTTGTAGATAATCACATCCTTAATGAAATTGTGTCCTCCGCTTTTTTCTAAAGCCTGTCTGTTGTACGATACAAACATATGTTTTTTTTTAAATGGAAACCATAGTTGGCCATGACTTCATAAAAAGCGCCATTTTTTAAGCTGTTTAGTGATATAAGCTATAATATCCTTTTCTTCGAAAAATTACTGAGTTATAGCCAATTCTTATCATTTTTAGACAACTTCACTTAGTTAGCCATGGAAACAAGTTCAATCGCCGTTGCTCTCAGAATTGTGAAGCTCTCACATCCAAACTTTGTAAATTAAAATAAACAAAAATTGTAAATATGAATTTTTCAAATGAATAAAAGCGTGTAGAGGATTTGCGCATCAATAGAGTAGTTCCAACATGACTTTCATTATGACCCCCTCCCCATAATGAAAGAAATGTTAAAAATTATTTATATCATAATTATGCAAACTCAAGGATAGGAAGGGATGGACCAATTGCATGGGTCTCCTCCGATCACTTGACCTATCCATTTTAGATTTTTTTATGGGGTATGGTTAACATTAAGGTTTACAAAAAAAACTTATGAATTAAGAGAGGCACTCGAAATGGCTGTACGAGAGAAGTTTAATTTATTCGACTCTATCTCCTTAACCGACTCTCTATCTCCAGTAGTTTCCGAGATACCCATAGAGAACATCGTAGGAAACTCACCTTGTATAACCCATCTTAATTTGTTATTTTTTTTAACTTACTTCCAACTTAGAATCAAGAATTTGTGGATTACATGGGTAATAAAAACTTTTATTTTTCTTGAATTTATAAATTAACTATATTTTTAACTCATATTTATAAAATTACAATAAAATATACCTACTTATCAACTAATGCATTCTAATAGACACTTTAAGCTATTTTTAAAATTAAACAAATAGAACTAAGTAACCTACGGCACTGGTACATTTTTGAACGTTGGCGATAGATGTCAGCTCATCAACCACCGCTAGTGGGCATAAATTTGACATCACCAAAGGCGAGTTTTGACAGGCTACTACTGTACCGGTACTGTTTAGGACTTGGCTATCAGTTGGACAAACGCGTAGTATATTGGCTGCACAAACAGATGAAGTACATGCTGTTGAACCGGTTGCTATGACCTAAAGAACAAAATTAGCTAATTTTTAGATTTTTTTGGAAATTTACTTACTTTAACGGGAAGATTGAATCCATTTAATAAAGAGACGCTGTAAGAATCTTCAGCGGTGCTTAGGGAGAAATCAATTTGAGTTTTAGGTCCATCAGTTACTTCGGCATCTACTGGTATAGCTGAAATGGAACCAGACCATTCATCGTCTAAGGTCACTGCTACCTAAAAATTCATAATAACACCCTGTACATAGACAAAATTTCAAAAATTTAATACGTATATGGTCTGCTATTGATGATCTAAAGAAAAAAAATCAATGATTAAAACAAATGTTGTTTGCTTGTATGTCAGAGCATCAATGAAAAACAATGGACGGATTTTCATGCGGTTTCCCCTGTTTTCCATAAACAATACGGAATTAAAAACCCGCAACTTCAGTCGCAGTTAACTGGCATTAAAAAAATATTCATAGCTATAACACGTGAGGAAATGAAATCGTGAACAATGTGGGTATCAACTAATATGTAACAAATCTTCGTCAATTTTAAAGACAGTGATAATTATCGATTTTTGAATGTTACAATCCTAAAAATGTTTTTTTCTTTATTTTGTTCTTTTTTTTTGTTATTTTATTTTTTTTTTGTTCTCTTCTTTAACTATTTTATTTTTACATTTTCTCACAGTGGCGAAATACCCAGAAGACTTTTATATTTTTTAATCAGAAGACAAATTATTATTAATAAAAAAAAACAAAAAAATAAACCAACAAAATTTCTAACAATCAAATAAATAAAATAGGATCTAAAACTATTAATGTAAATAAAAGAAATTTAGGTCAAATGTTATTAAATAACAAAGACAAAACTAACGTCAAAAATAAGTTAATAGATATGTATAATAATTAAAGAACATATAAAATGTATTAATAATCTCCGACAAAGTTCCAGTCTCTCAACACATTGTATATTAAACGATCACACAATTAATGTAAATTCATTTAAATTACTCAATCAAAAGGTAGACTCTTAAATTACCTCGAACAGCTAGAAATATTAAAATCAGTAAAAAACGATAATAATGCAAACCACCAACAAGAATTTAAACATATTTTTTATTGCATCTGTTATAAACTTTTTAAACCCACCCCCATAGCAAATATATTTCGTTACATTGTAGTTTTAGAGGGTTGGTTTTAAAAACAACTCTTGAAAAAGGCCTAACAAGCCAAGAAACATATGTGAAGATAAAATAACTCTCATTACACTTGAAACATCTAAAAGCCTGTTTTGTTAAAATAATAATAATATATTTTTTAATGAATATTCTAGATCAAAAATTAAATAAATAGTTATTTTTTATACAAGACGATAAAATGGTATTATACTACGCTAATGCAATTTTTTCGTCGTGTATAAAACAATATTTTTTCCATAGCGAGTTACATTTTAAAAAATATTCAGAAATTATTATTTCAAGGAATTTATTACGAGTAGAAAAAATATTGTGCTGGTTGGCGTTGGGTTCTATGTAATTTGACAAATAAATAAAGCTGTCTCTTTAGTTGTCAGTTTTGAGTCAATAGTTTTTAATTTTCTTTCGTGTCGATTGCTGATTGAATTGGAGCCAGAAATGGCTCACAACGAAATAAGTAAATTACCAACAGATATTCAGACTGAGGCGACAAACGCCATATCCAGTCTACTTCCATTTAAATCCCGAATAACTTATGAAAAGGAATACAAAAATTTTCAAAAATGGAAGCAATGAAAAAACGTGCGGGAAGTAATAAAGTTTTTAACCTATGCAGGTAAAGTACCATTTTATCTACTATTTTTGATAGATATAAGGCAATTTTGATAGGGAAAAAAATATATAAAGCTTATTGTTGAAAATTTGGACAAAATAAAATTCCTACATTTTCCAGAGATTTTTTTAACAAATAAAACATTTTATTTACCACAGAATTTGCTGCTACAGTATATTCACTTCCTCCTACAGACACCAATAGTGAATTTGAGCGTTTGTTTTGGACTTTTACCACCTTGCTTGCTGCTAGGACTATCAAGGCACTGATGACTACTAAAACTTTAGAAAAATACATTTTTTTTCGAATATTTCTTGCTTTGCTTTCTTAAATTCGTATTCAGGTATTTCGTTATATCTTCACTGTAGTATTGATGAATGTGTCTCTTGTATTTATACTAAATCTCGTACCACAAGCAGAGCAAAAATATTTAAATAAGGATTAAGGTTTCTCAGATCATATGTGTGTGGTAGTTTACTTTTGGTTTAACTGCAGGAATTTTTGTAAACATATTTTTCATTAGTTTTGCTTAAAATTAGTGCATGCTAATACAGGATGAGTCTTAAATAAGTGCAAATATATTTAGGAGCAGTATATCTCAGAAACACGATTGTGAGTTTTTTTTCCCTAAAAAATAACTTTAGTTTTTAGTTAAAAAACATAATTTCTTGATAATATGGCAACATAGGAAGTAGATTAAATTTACAAGAATTAAAACCTAGAAAAGATCCAGAGGTTCTCAAATTTAAGCAAAAAATATTTCGTTTTGGGAAATTTTGAAAGTAAAATAACTAACTTAATTGTAAAATGTAGTATTTCTTTATCCATATGGAATATTTGGACACCCTGTATACCAAATTATAATTGTTGTAAATTTATTGCTACGTTACGAATCTATACTAATATATACTAATATATAAAATCCTTAAGTGACTGACATACTGATTAATCACGATCCTGCTCAAACCACTCAACGTAAGAAGCTCAATTTTGGCATACAGGTTGATTCTAGGGTGTAGAGGTTCGATAAGAAGGAATTTTTCGAAATTCCAGTTCCAAGAGGGTGAAACCACCCCTCAAATATTACAATATTTTTTATTTAAAAAACGGTCAAGTTTCCGAAAAAACGCTTAAACACGTATATTTTATTGTGTTTTTTTACGTATTATAAGATTTTTTAAAAATGTATACAGGGTGTTTCGAAAAATCTGGTCATTGATTAATCACGATCCTGCTTAAAGCGCTTAACGTAAAAAGCTGATTTTTGGAAAACAGATTGACTTTAAGGTGTAGAGGTTCGATAAGAAGGGATTTTTCGAAACTCGAATTCTAAGGGGGTGAAACTATCCATCAAATATTAAAATATTTTTTATTTAAAAACCGGTGAGTTTTTCGGAAAAACTCTTAAACACGTGTATTTTATTTTGTTGTTTTACATATTTTAAGGTTTTTTATAAATTTATACAGGGTGTTTCATAAAATATGACCGTTGAGTAATCACGATTCTGCTTAAACTGCTTGACGCTTAAAGCTGATTTTTGGCAAACGGATAGACTATGGGGTGTAGAGGTTCGATAAGGAGGGGTTTCTCGAATCTCAAATTCCAAGAGGATGAAAACGCCCCTCAAATATTACAATATTTGTTATTTAAAAAACGGTTAGTCTTTCGGGCAAACGCTTGGACAAGCATAATTTATTTGGTTTTTTTACATATTTTGAAATTTTTTAAAAAATCATACAGAGTGTTCCAAAAAGTTGGGTAAATTCTTAACCACGATTCTGTTTAAACTGCTTGACGCAAAAAGCTTATTTTTGGCAAACGGATTTTTCGAAAGTCAAATTCCTACGAGATGAACTACCCCTCACATATTACCAAGTTATATAATAATATCGCCATATCGTTTTTTTCTCATGCTGACATAAATGTGAGAAAATTTTGTCCAGTTTGTATGTTAATGGAAATTCTTGCTTTGCTTTATCATCACCATTACAAATGATTAATTCGACGAGAACGAAGTCGCTGGTACACGGTAGTTAAAAATAAAATAACAAGTGGCAATATTTTTCGCAAAAAGTACCATGACAAATTATTGTTATTGATGTCGATACACATCTCATTTTAAAAAAATCGTTTTTACTTTAAAATATCGGGTGCATGTTATTTTACCCATTCTGTATAACATATTTATGAAAAATTACAAAATAAAAATGTTCCGTCAGTTGCAAAAACAATTTTTCCAGTTAAATATTTACTTTTAGAGATTAATCCGTTAATTCTAATAACCTAGTCATAAGGTGTTTGTCATTATTTTCGTTTTAGCGTTGTTATTTTCCACCTTGTTCGTATAATTATCTTTTGGAGTCATCTTTTGCAATCATATGATCGAATATTAACAACAATATACAAGGGTAGACTTAAAAGTATTCAATATACAGGGTGAGTCTTAAATTAATGCAAATATTTTCAGGGATGCTAGATCTCGATAAAAGAAACATATTTTCTCTTTGCCGTTTTTCAAATAAGTCCAAAATAATCGAGTTATTTTAATTTGAAAATTGCCAAAAAGAAAAATAATATTTTGCTTAAATTTTGAGAACCACTCACTTTTCTGGGTTTTCTTTCTTATAACTTTAATTTACTACCTATGTTGACATATATTATGAAGATATGTTTTTTAACTTAAAATTTACTTAAAATTTTTTCAAAAAATTCTAAAATTTTTACATTCTACATTTAATTTTAACAAAATTATTTTTATCTTCACAGACAAATTAAGATTATTTTAAGTACTTCCTCCCTTGATTCTAATTCTACTAAAAACTCTTTAAATATCTATTAGTACAGAGGGCATTGGCACTTTTAGTTAAAACGTTAAAACGACGGTTCAAACTGGAATATATTATCAGGAAATGATTAAAATATTTTCCAATCTTTCTTTAGTTTTTTTTTTCATTTTAGGTACACAGTATGTTTGATAAGGAAAGTTTTGATTTTTTTTTCCTGATAAAACTTGGCATTATGCGACAACAACAGCCTTGAAATTTGAACTGAGTGTGATTTATTTATTGTTAAATAAATGCGGTTGTACTGAAATAGGTAGGTACGTAAATATTTGCCTTATAAAGCCCCTCCTACACCTGACGTTTTACCTGTCAGTCTTACCTGTTCATTCAAAACGTATCAAGGAAAACCTTGTTTGTAAATTAGGGTTTCTACTTTTTTGCAGTCTTTTTAAGCCGTTTAAGGAAAAATTTTTTATTAGTAAATCACTGCGACAAGGTGGTCTCCATTGGTTTAACGCAGCAAAATGATTACAAAAAATAACCATTTTATTTTGTAGATTTTCTTACTGTGGCGAAATACCTAAAGTAATCGCAAAACAATTTCCGATGCACGTGATCAACTTTAAGTGACAAGCGATAGCGACAGCGCTGCCAGATGACGGATTTGTGACGGATGTGACGGATTTGTGAGATGAATCTTAATGTAAAATTGGGAAACAATATATTTATTATATAATTTTTTTAAAGATTTTTATGTTTTATTTAATAATTAATATTTTAGTAATTAATTTATTTATTAACAGTGTAGTCACTAACACTCATAGTAACAATATTTATATTTAAGGCAGCAGTTTTTCGCTACAAATCGAAATAAGTAGAAATAACTTTCGATAAGAACGGTAAACTAATAGAATTGCTCGTTCTCATAAGACGTACGTTCGCCTTTTCCCGCGGTTCAGCTGACAGTTGTGACGTCATTGTAGTCCTTGTCATGATAGTGTGTATTATTAGTTGCCTATGGTAAACTTATAAAAATAACAGAGAGAGATTGAGAAATTTTGAGTTAATTATTTTGTCAATTTCATTTTTGTCATAAATGTCAAAAAGGTGTTTTTAAAGTTTTTAGAGCTATAGAGTGTATAAATACGTTCATTTTGTGTTGTGGATTGTGACAAAGTGCTTACTAAGTGCCTACGATATTGTTTATTAATTATTTTAAAGCAAAATATGGAAGTACTCTAAAAAGAATGCCTGCAAAAGGTGATGCTGGGAACTGCTGTTCTTAAAAATGCATTATCCGAGTATTTAATACGATTTATACAGTTAATTTTCTATACTGCATACATATAAGGTATTTAAATAAATAAACTAAATAATGAACGTTTTGCATCCGGCAACCAATAATGCACGTGTGTGTATTATTGGTTGCCGGATAAGGACTAATAACCATTAACCATGACAAGGACTACAATGACGTCACAAAGCGAGGAGTTTTCGCATGCACCTGGCAGACACTTTTGGCTGAATGAGCAGTCCTATTAGGTTAACTGTTCTTGGTTTAATGTGCTTACCAATCAAACTTACTTGACTGCAATCGAGGGTATAATAAAGGACCTTTATTGTCACGTTCTCGGTCAAAATAGTTTATCAGGAAAGCTACAAGCTCTTTGCTTCGACTGTTTAAATGCTTCGGCATATTTTCGACATACAATTTCAAGAAATGCAATACAAAAATTTGAAAATTTAGTTCTTAAAAGAACTGTTTGTGCTTAAAAGTAAAATTTTTTAAAAAAGACTATAAAAATCGACAAAAAACGAGAATTACTCCCAAAGATTCAACAACACGATATTATACAAAATAATGACTAACATTATAATAATTGTCAAATAATAAACGACAACGTTGCTAATCGCGGCACAATCTGACCAACATCGCGATAATAAGAATCGCTTTAAACTAATTTTTGCAGCTTTAATCTAAGTAAAATATCTGTTACAATAATTTGCTCTATGAAGTAAAATGAAGAGCTGCTGGATATCTTAAATTGTACAACAAATTTAGACATTTTTGACAAAATTTCATTTAGTCATCTTTATAGGCTTTATTGGCAATTTCGATATCATTGATGACGTCCATCGGAAAATATTTTGTTGACATTTTTTTATAAGTAGTCTTTTTAATAAGAACTACAATGTTAAAAGTAATAAACTTTAAACGGTATAAAAATAGATTTATTATCCTAACAAAATAATAGTTTCATTAACAATACCTTAACTCGATTAAACTTAAAATCTAAGCGCTGCCAAAGTGAATGTTGTACTCGCTGGCCTGGCACGTGAACGTGCTCTTGTGGTCGTCGTAAGCGTAGCTGTACGCGTCTGGACAGGCGCTTTTAAACATGGCGGGGTAATCTGTGGGCCAGTCCGAGCTCTTGCATGTTTCGGGGGTGTTATGGGATCCGGCACAACAATACTCGTCGGTGTGGAAAGCGTTACAAGCGGAATTACAAGCAATGACCTGACTGCCGTCGGGGCTGAGGATCTGGAGTTCGGAGGGACATTGGCCGTTGATGTTGGTGGCGCATTTGGCTTGTTTGCAGCTGTACTCGCCTCCGTCGCCGTTGCCGTTAACCGGTTCGATCTGAAAGAAACAGAGTTTTTAGTTTAGTCTCTTAATCTTCCTTCCTTAAAAAGGTGCGATTATAAACCAGGTACTGAGTTTCAATTATTTAGGGATAGAAAGCTTCATCGACAAATCATCCAGCAGCGGAAGTGGACAATCAGATTAAAAAAGCCTCAAGAATATCGAAGTATTACGGAGAGTAAGACCCGAATTTATAAGACCTGTATAAGATCCATACGGACTTAGTGTGCGAACACAGTGCAAGAAGGTTTGCGCTTACCGGTAGTCGGCGCCAATCTGGGTACCTATTCTTGACATCGTTCGCAACTTTGCGTATACGCATCACGTGTATTGTTATAAACAGGGTATCCCAGAAATAAGTGCAAGTATTTCAAAGGGTGGTAGATTTCGATAAAAGAAACATATTTTCTCTTTACCGTTTTTCAAATAAATCTAAAATAACCGAGATAAGTATTTTGCGTAGAAAATTAAAAAAAAAAGATTGAGAACCACTGGATCTTTTTTGGATTTTCTTTCTTGTAAATTTAATCTACTACCTATGTTGCCATATTATCAAGAAATTATTTTTTTTTTAAATAAAAACTAAAAAAAAATCCAAAAATATTTTCAAAAAATTCCGAATTTTGCAAAAAAAAAAATTTTCGCGAAAAAAACCTCATAGGCGTGTTTCTGGGATTGAACTATGCTACCAGTTAAGTTAAAATACTTGCACTTATTTCTCGGACATCCTGTATATGGGTACATAGTAGCGCCGCGCCGCCTCGCGCTTATAACCTTGAAAAATTAAAGCGTGTTATCAAATCGGCTAGTTCACAGTGAAAGCAGGTAGGCGCCGTCAACCAGCGTTCATCGGCGTTCTCGCTTTTACCGGAACGAAAATTTATTTATTTCTGCTTTTGCATGCGCCGACGGCGCACAGAGGGTAAACTTCTAACTTTAATATTAATTATTAGAGGAGAGGGTGCTAATATGGAACCCCATTTTGTTTTTCCTACACAATATTTTTTCCTCTACTCTGAAACCCTTTCCACCGATCAAATAGGGCCATTCTGTGCAAAACCAAGCAATTGGATGAGGATGCTAGAACAAGAAAATAATTTGTATATTATAGACGATATTTGAGCGAGGATGGGTGTTTTAGGGTAAAGACTCTTTTCTTTAAGAATCTATTTAAATCAATGTTTTTTTGGAAGTGGCAAATATTGGCAAGATTTTTGTACTTATTCCAAAGCTGGAGACTTTAAGCATTGAACGGATACTAATTTCCATGCGGAATATTGCCGAATTTTTTAAATATAAAACATTATAAAGAAATAGAATAGAAGGAAACGTTTCAAAGTAAAAATATGACATAAAACAGGACTTGCCAGCTGGCTCTGTATCCATCATGACAGTTATTATAAAGAATTTGCAAAAAAAGCACCACAAACAATTCGACTATTGTATAATCTTAGAAATATTCAGAATACACTCAAGATAATTCATACTTATAACTGAAATATATTATTTATTTGATAGTCAACTTACGACTTAAAAAAAGCTAATAAACGCGCTTACATTTAGTATTTATAAATTTGTATTCAGTTAAGATAAAAAATGAAAATAAGAAAATATCACTTTTGGCCAGGTTTATAGACCAAATACCCCTATGTGCGGGCGAGGCGTTTGAATATGGTTAGGTTAGGTTAGGTTAGTTAATCAGGTAAATTTCCTCTTAATTAACTACTTCCGAACCCTGCTCGCATCTCCGAAAAAGCCATATAACAATACACGTGATGCATATACGCAAAGTTACGCATCACGTGTATTGTTATATGGCTTTTTCGGAGATGCGAAATGTGACCGATATTTGAAGATGCGAGTGGCCAAGAATAGGTACCCTGACACGGCGCTGGTTGCCGGTAAGCAGAAACCTGCCTCCACTATGTTCGTACCCTTACGCTGCTGAAACAAGAGCAGAAACATCAGAAACAAAAAGGGAAATGAGAACAACAGAGATGAAAATATTACGAACAATAAAAGGGACTACACTGCTCGACAGAATAAGCAACACAGACACGCTTAGAGAGTTAAGAGTACAGAACGTTGTCAGATGGGTAATGAATGGGTAAGAGCAAGGCGCCGTTGTTGGAGAGACCACGTAGACAGGATGGGTCCAGATTGAATAGCCAAGTGGGCCAAAACACGAAAACCAGAGACAAGACGCTCAGTTGGTAAGCCCCTAAAGCGTTGGTATGACAGCTGGACATCAACATCACAAGAGGATAATAATTGACAGGACCTCGTCCTGTTACAAGAAGAAAAGAGGAAAGAAGTCCTCCTACTCTGTGTGCCCGAAGGCAATGAAAAAGCAAACGATCTAAATAGAAAAAGAGCGAGCACTCAACTAGCAAGCACTCAACTGGACCAAAACCGTTCTGTTAGGTTAGGTTGGAATTCGAGACCTGGAAGACTCCATCCATATAATCTGGAATGGGAAGTCTCCAACGGTCTAAGACACTCAAAGAAGTTTATCAGGACTTACGATTTAAATAAGAACAATCTTAGGATTGTCGCGTAATTTTTAACAGGACACTGTCTCCTCATTGAACACCTCAGTAGGCTGAAGCTGAGAAACAACGGCGAATGCAGATTGTGTGAGGAAAATGGGGAAACTCTAAAACTTTGGTCCGATTGACATCGGAGATGGAGAACTAGCCTCTGTGAAAGAGTCGATAAACAAAAAACAAGGGTGATTCTAATGTATATAATCCACTGGGCCGATAACGACATAGAAAATTATCTGAAAATACGAATAACCTGTTATAAATATCCACCAAGATTATGAAGAAAGACTCATTATTATCGAGGTGTATTGTACAAAAGGGCAGATTGTACGCAATGCTCAAAAAAATCTGCATTGACTGTGGATCAGATAGATAGGCAATACGTTTAAATTCTCTAGAGTGTATTTGGTACGATATGTTATTCCTGTATTTTTCTTATCCTTAACTCACTCTACGGTTACGTTAATAAAGCAGACAAAATCTTGATTTAATAAAATCTCAAAATCAAAAACAATGACACTCACCGAAGCCATACTGTTGTATCCGTCAACCAAAGAAATGTCATAATAGTCAATGTTTCCATATCCGTTCAGAGTGATTTCAATCAAAGTAACAGGAGGAGTACCACCGGCACCGTTACATTCGACCTTGTTGCCACAGTCACCAGTGTAGCAATGGTTGTCCTGATCTTCGTAACACCAAGTCCTGGACCAGAACCTTCCTGCCCAGTCGCTGGCAGCGTCCAGACTTCTCTGCAATGTAAAAATGGATACATATTAGCATTTCTGGTAAATATTATGAAGTGGTGTACTTACAGATTCGCCTTGAGCAAGTTTGAATCCGCCATTGGCCAAGTTCTCTTTGCCTGGGTTGCCTTGGATACCGATCCAGATTGGACCTCCGTCTAGGTTTTGGATGTTGAAGCGGACAGCTTCGGAGCATGCTACTAGAGTAGCAACCAATGCGATAATGAATTTCATACTATAAAATGAAAAGGATTGTGTATAAATATGTATATCGGACTATTAGATGCAATATGCAATAGTTACACTACTGTACTAAATTAAGTAGACATATTAGTACTCGAGTTGTCACTGGATTTTTAACAAGACACTGTCTCTTCAATGAACACCTCAGTAGATTGAAGTAATTAAGAAATAACGGCGAATGCGGATGCTGTGTAAAAAATGGGGAAACACCAGAACACCTTATCACTGAGAACTAACCTCTATAAACACCGTCCTAGATACTGGTTCTTTTCCAAGCCCTGAGACTCTATGATGAGTTATAATTCAAGAAAGAGAGACACAATAAATCTGTAAGGTCGCGAATACTGATTTGTAGTAAAAATCATTACTGAACGCTATTAATTCTATTTATGCCCCTAAAATTACAAGGTTAATATAAGAAAAATGCTAGTGTGTCAAAAAGAAAAATTACGTTGATGTTCAATGATCGAATGACGTTATTTGAAACATTGTTTAAAATTGATTATTGAAGACAGGTGTTTTTGAATTCCAGTTCACTGGCTAATTTAAGTGAATCTTTATTTTCTAATACATTTTCATCTTTTTTGAGTTGAATGCAAATTTTACATGTACCTCTTTAATTTGCGTTTTATTCTATTCTTGGTACCAGCGATATTTAATTTACAATTATGAATTAAGTGGGTTTGGAGATAATTTTAATATGTTTATCAAGTTTCAATCAAGTGTAGGAAGCTAATGTGTTATTCTAGAGCGGTGTTTTTTTAATCAATATACAGTGTGGTCCGAACTGTATTCCGGAAACTTCGGCAACATATTCTGCAGATAAAAATAAGTAAAAAAGTTCATATAAATGTATGTCCTAAAATGCTTACTTTCGGAGATACAGGGTGTAGAAGTTTCATTCTTATTTCGATTTTTTCCAAATAATTTCTGAAGTAACGTCAATATTTGGATGAAAATTGGTGTCTGGGAGTTTTTTGACATGAGAAATTTGGATTTCGATGTCAGTATGGCTCCTACTTGTAGAGGGCGCCACCTATGTATTTTTTAACTCGTTTGAAGAGTAATAACTTTTCGTCCGTACCTGTATAAAACTAGGTAGTTAAAAAATATACTTTTACGATGTTTTTTACGTAAAAAAGGTCTCTTGATAAAAATATGAGTAATGGTTCTCGAGATATTTGGAATCGAAATTACCAATACCTGTCATCACTGACATAAATTAAACATGTTGACTAATTAGTTATTAGACTAAAATCATAAATTTGCAATGATTTTGTGCCAAAAATTCAACAGAAACTGTTTTATCATCATTTTTTCGAAGAAAAATTTATGATCAGTTTAAAAAAATAAAAAGTTCCCAAATTTCTCATTTCAGTCAAATAACTATCTACTCAACATATGTTTATTTTTAGTCAATAATGACATGTATTGACTATTTCCATTGTAAATATCTTGAGAACGGTTGCTCGTAGGAATTTTTACCAAGAGATATTTTTTACGTAGAAAATCACGGAAATGTATATTTTTTCACTCAGTAGTTTTATACAGGTACGGACAAAAAGTTATTACTCTTCAAAACAGTTAAAACACATGTAGGTGGCGCCCCCTACAAATAGGAGTCATTTTTACATTAAAATCAAATTTCTCATGTCAAAAAACTCCCAGACACCAATTTTCATCCAAATATTGGCGTTACTTCAGAAATTATTTAGCAAAATCGAAATAAGAATGAAACTTCTACACCCTGTATCTCCGAAATTAAACATTTTAGGACATACATTTATATGAACTTTTTTACTTATTTTTATCAGTAAAACATGCTGCCGAAGTTTCCGGAATACAGTTCGGACCACCCTGTATATACAGAGTTTCGGACCACCCTGTATAGACAGAGTGAGTCTTAAATAAGTGCAAATATTTTCAGGGCTGGTAGATCTCGATGAAAAAAACATATTTTACTTTGAAAATTTAAAAAATATTATTTTTCGCTTAAATCTTGAGAACCACTGGATATTTTCTTAGTTTTCTTTCTTGTAGATTTAATCTACTACGTATGTTGCTATATATTATGAAGATATTATGTTTTTTAACTAAAATTTTAGAAATCTCCAAATTTTTTTTTCAAAAATCCCAAATTTTCAAAAAAAATTGCGAAAAAAAAGCTCATAGGCGTCGAAATATTCCACTCCTGAAAATATTTGCGCTTATTTAAGACTCATCCTGTATAATTTACAAACAATTTTAGATTTATAATTAACAAATATACTCAAATATTGACAACGTTGTAGGAAATGATTTGCACATTAATAGTTTTTACAACTAAAAACAACGCTAAGGAATTGAGCGATTTTATTGTAATATTTTACATTAAAATAACTGAAAATTTGAAGCCGCCCTGGGAAGGAAACTAAATACTCCGACCAATGGGCACTTACCCAAGCACCCTTGAGGCAGAAATCTACGCTATCGAAGTTGGTCAAAGAATGAAGTCCTCCTACTCTACTTAGAAAAACTCACTAGCTGGACCAGAACCGTTCTGGTCTTAAGTAAGTACAATCTTAGGTAAGAACAATCTTGGGATTGTCACGGGGTTTGTAACACGACACTGTCTCCTCCATGAACAGTAAATTAAAGCTAAGAAACAACGGCGAATGTAGATTCTGTAGGGAAACGGCAGAACCTCATCACTCAAACAGTCTCAGATACTGGATTTAGTCAAGACCCTGAGACAGTATGATGATTTATAACTCAAGAAAGGAGATACAATAGATCTCTAAGATCGCGATAATTGAAAACGTGAATTAAGAATTAAATGTATTAAAAAGTAGAATTATTTTTGTTGTCTCCATATTAGTTACTAAATATTTTTGATTTTATTATATTCAATGAAGTTTGGACAGTTTTTAAGATATATTCATTCTACTATGCTAGAACTACAAAACAAGTGTTCGAAATTAGACTTACCTGAGCTGTTAATCTCTGATGCACAAATTAAAATTGATATTTCCTCAATCGTTCCATTGTTTATATACCAACCATTATCGTGCTTTCAGACTAATCTTATTTATCGGTTTCAAGTGTTTCTTTTCATGTATTATTGAACAGATATTTCCCTGCATTTAAGCCGAGTTTATTTTTAATAGTACAGGTACTTGTTTGAGTTCTATTATTTACAATTAATATGTTGTAAACATATTTTCCCATTTTTTTTATATCCTAAAGTCAAATTTAGATACAGTATCTTCTTTCTGTCGAAACAAAGGAGTGTTGGTTTAGAAGTGAATAAGTTCTAAAGCCCCATCTACACCTAACGTTTTACCTGTTCAGTCAAAATGTATCAAGTAAAACCTTGATACATGTGGAGACGAAAAAACGATCCGTTTTATTTGAACTGTGAACTGAATTAATGGCTTTCGACGCGAATCTCCCTCTACATTACTTCGTTACCTAACCTTTACATTACTCACACAACCTAATGGGCGAATTCATGACAAGACTGATTTGATTTCCCCTTACGTCTCAAGTGCTGTACGGTGGAGACACCAATCTTTCTGCGGTCAACGCATAAAACACTTATTTTCTCTAATTCGGCCAGCGAAGGCATATCGAAGACGGTGTGCATCTGAAAGCGACAGTGTTGCCATATTAAAATGTGTAATATCTGCAATACGTTTGACGAAAATATTGTTGGATGAAAAATCCGCGTTTATGTATGGAAAATTTTTTCGTGTTACACATAGAATAAACAACAAAAACAAAAATTCTTTTATAGGTACTGAATATGTCGAACGATCGAAAAAAAATCGTTTAGATGGCTTCGAAATGACGATTAATGACATTTACCAAAATATTTTACGAAATAACAGGCGATCTTCATTTCCAAGCCAACTCTGACGGCGTTCTTTCTTTGATCATATAATTATTTATTATATTAAATTGTTTAATGATAGAAAATCCGTATTATTAACGTACTGTACCCAAAATCCGTAAATCTACGGATTAATTAATAGTTCTGGCAACACTGTCTCCGGCAACCACTCACTCTGTCGACTGAAAGCAGAACTACGGTACAGTATTCTTTATCCGCTGCGCTGTAAACGACTATCAGTGCGCACCGGCGCAGGGCTAAACTAAATCTTGGAACTCTCGGACAGGCCGACGGTAACGCCAGCTACATCTAGGACAGTTTTATGTCAAATACAATATGGATATTTTACAGATATCTTTAATAAGCGACATTTGAAAATCTGATATTTTTGCATAGTTTCACAAAATAATGTAATTTTACAAATATTATTATTACCAAACGATACTATTTTCACTTTCATTTCATTTTTTTTCACACAATTTGGTTTGCATGTTTACAAATAATGAAATTTAAATAATAAACACTAAAGTTTAGAAGTTAAGTTTTTCAAACTTAACTGATGTTCAATTTGAATCATATTTCACTTTCATTCATTTTAAGTTCAGTATCTCACAGGTGCTGTTTAAGTGTCAAGTGTTCTGTTATAGCATTGTCAATAGTGTGACTTATCATACAATTTATTCTATAAATACAATAAATTTGAGTACCCGGACAATAATAGTAAACATTTCTTTTATATTAATTGAAAATAATATTTGCTTTTAAGATTTTTGTCTAAGATTATCAATTGAGAAAATAAAATTATGATTAAAGTAATAAAATATATCCGGTTGTAACAGTTGAATAAGAGTCACCAGAATAACGAAAAGGCAAATGAAGAGGCCAAACAAGGCTCAAAACCAATTAGACCAACAAATATCTAGAATAATGGAGACATTCATCAGGACAACAAATAAGACTTAGTCAAAATTATGTTTTTGACCTTTGCAATACATTGATATACGTATAGACTTTGATATAAGTATTATAAAAAAAAGATATTAACATAACAATACAGTTTCATTTCACTGATGATTTTTATCTTCATATCACACAGTGGCAGCAAAGTTTACTAAATAAAATATAAGTTCCGTCACTTGTGCCGGCGGCAGGTATCAAAAGCCGCTTCACGCACGTGTTTCCCAGTGTATTACTGGTGTGTGGACTTTGGACCCAGCATACACGGCGGATCACGTTCGGCGTATTACTCTGATTTTGGCGTTATTACAGAGTGGTCTCGCATGCATATGGAATTATTTTTCAAGTGGTTATTTAATTTTCATTGCAAAGTGTTACTGATCACATTAGCCTTAGTTAATTATTTATTAGTTTATTATAAAAAAAGCATAATTATTTTTATTATTTCTTAAAAATAATATTGAGTTTTTCGCCACTGGAAAAAAATTATTTAAAATATCTAATTAGAATTATTCAAGAACACTTTATTTTTTTACACGAAAAATCATATACTGGGTGTGTCTCAAAAGTGGCTTATCCCCTATAACTTTTTTATTTTTTCAGATAAAAAAACGAGATTTGGTGTGTTAGTATATGACCTAAATTAGGATTGATTAACGTTTTAAATTTTTTTCGGTCACTTTCGGTTTCACCGAAAATGACTACAACTTTTGATTTTTAAACGGCAACCTCGGCATTTTTCTACTTTATTCGATAAAAAATGACACTCTGAATAGAATGACATATCATATGTCAACTTTTGGCATTCTAGCTTAAAAAAAATCTTTTAAAATTTCAATATTGAGTGCCATAGCTCTTTTAAAAACAAAACTTTAATCGAGGAGTCCTGGAAAAAATAGATTTGATCGTCTAATGTTTTCCATGTCTTGTCTTGGCCGGTTAAAAGATGTCTAAATGGTAATTTTAACCATATCTTAATTTTTTTCAAATGGAAAGAGGATTGCTCATTAGTATATTTGGAAAAAGTATTTTTTACGAAATTTCATGCCACACACTTGGTATTTCGAGTCAAATTGTCGTTATAAACCGCGTGTTACACTTTCAAATTAATCTTATGTGAAACTGTTAAAAGCTGACATATGATATGTCTTTCTACTCAGAGTATCATTTTCTATCGAATAACGTAAAAAAAATACCGAGGATACCATTTAAACATCAAAATTTGTTGACATTTAATAGTATCAGCTTTGAATTTTTAGTGTACGTAATTCGTGTTGGAAAACCATATTACGCACTCATGGAATACTGCACTCGTGCGTAATATTATTTTTCCCTAAACACTCGTTACGTAATATACTTTTACATTATTTACTGTTGATATTGTGTAGCTTTATTTTTTGTGTTTGTTTTTAAAATTTATTTTATCTTTTTTATCTTGCCATGTCTAAATATTTATATGTAATACACCAATAAACTGATAGTATATTTTTTCTTTTGTAGATTTACCATTAGGTATTTTTGAAATACCCCACGTTCCCCTGCACCTTGTCGCATATTGGGATCGGTAAAAATTCGGCTTCTATTTATCCCGGCTTCCACTCCTGTTTTCATCGAAATCCGGCGTATCCGACGAGGCGGCTTCTGGCTTTTGATACGCGATTTTCAAAGTGCCGATGCTAAGTGACCGAACTTATATTTTATTCTGTAAACTTTGGTGGCAGCGAGTGAACGGTTTTTCGACATTTTTCCATGTCATTAAAATTGTCGATTTTGGACAAGTGAAAAATCATTTTCAAACAAGGCTTCAAAAAGTTGAATTTTCACCGAATCAAAGCATTTAAGCTTACAAAGGCTTATATATTCGGAATCTACATAAAATTTTCTATAAATCTTGAAATTTTCAAAATTTTATGACCTTGTTTTCTAGTTTTCTTAGAGCTCTAAAAAAGGAGCAAAAATATAAAAATATGACCATTTTTTCTACATTTTCCCATACATATACCAAGTCATGAAAATTTACGATTTTGGACCACCCACCGAATTTGATGAAAACACTATTATTTACTAATTAGAGGGTGTACAAAAATATAGGGCCATTGTAGTCTCACAATTCGGTTTTATATGTAGGCATAATTTTAGCCATCATCAGAAAAAAACTCGAAACAAGGGTTCGAAATATCATATTTCTCACCGAACCAAAGCATTTAAGCATATAAAAGCTTATATATTCGAAATCTACATAAAATTTGCTATAAATCTTGACATTTTTAAAATTTTATGACCTTGTTTTCTATTTTTTTTAGAGCTCTGAAAAAGAAGCAAAAATGTCCAAAAATGAGCATTTTTCGACATTTTCCCATGCATATACCAGGTCATGAAAATTGACGATTTTGGACCACCCACCGAATTTGATGAAAACACTATTATTTACTAATTAGAGTGTGTAGAATACAAAAATATAGGGCCATTGTAGTCTCACAATTGCGGTTTTATATGTAGGCATAATTTTAGCCATCATCAGAAAAAAACTCGAAACAAGGGTTCGAAATATCATATTTCTCACCGAACCAAAGCATTTAAGCATATAAAAGCTTATATATTCGAAATCTACATAAAATTTACTATGAATCTTGAAATTTTCAAAATTTTATGACCTTGGTTTCTAGTTTTCTTAGAGCTCTAAAAAAGGAGCAAAAATATAAAAATATGACCATTTTTTCTACATTTTCCCATACATATACCAAGTCATGAAAATTACGATTTTGGACCACCCACCGAATTTGATGAAAACACTATTATTTACTAATTAGAGGGTGTAGAATACAAAAATATAGGGCCATTGTAGTCTCACAATTCGGTTTTATATGTAGGTATAATTTTAGCCATCATCAAAAAAAAACTCGAAACAAGGGTTCGAAATATCATATTTCTCACCGAACCAAAGCATTTCAGCATATAAAGGCTTATATATTCGAAATCTACATAAAATTTGCTATAAATCTTGAAATTTTCAAAATTTTATGACCTTGTTTTCTATTTTTTTTAGAGCTCTGAAAAAGAAGCAAAAATGTCCAAAAATGAGCATTTTTCGACATTTTCCCATGCATATACCAGGTCATGAAAATTGACGATTTTGGACCACCCACCGAATTTGATGAAAACACTATTATTTACTAATTAGAGTGTGTAGAATACAAAAATATAGGGCCATTGTAGTCTCACAATTGCGGTTTTATATGTAGGCATAATTTTAGCCATCATCAGAAAAAAACTCGAAACAAGGGTTCGAAATATCATATTTCTCACCGAACCAAAGCATTTAAGCATATAAAGGCTTATATATTCGAAATCTACATAAAATTTGCTATAAATCTTGAAATTTTCAAAATTTTATGACCTTGTTTTCTATTTTTCTTAGAGCTATGAAAAAGAAGCAAAAATGTCCAAAAATTAGCATTTTTCGACATTTTCCCATGCATATACCAGGTCATGAAAATTGACGATTTTGGTTTCGAACCAAAGCATTTCGGTTTTGGCCGAACCAAAGCATTTAAGCTTATAAAGGCTTATATATTCAGAATCTACATAAAATTTGCTACATATGCTGAAATTTTCGAAATGTTATGGCCGTGTTTTCTATTTTTTGTTTGATATAAAATAAGTTAATGGAACAGCGTTCAATATGTGTTCAAATTAAATTGGTATAAAATACGTAAAACAAAACTAATTGTTCCGTAATGCTTTTCGTAGAATTTATCGTGATAAATAATGTGCAATGTGCATATATATCGATTATATTGTAATAACACGTGCCGGGTTGCCAAGTTTATATTTTACATATGCATACGTTACCATCGTTTTTTTTTAGTTTTCTTAAATTTTGCTGTATAAAAATATCTGATGACATTTAAAGAAAATTGAATAATAAACATAAAAGGAAAACTGCTCTACATATATTTTGTTTATTTCTAGGGAAATCCAAGCTGCCTCTGGTGAGTGGATGAACGAGTTTGTTCGAAGACCCAGCAGACGCAGAGATGCCAGAGTGTACGTTCCCGCGGCAGATATCATCAAGAGAACTATACGCAGGTCATGGACAATATCCAGTAAGTCTAAAACCGAAATTATATTCTACTAGTGTGTACCCGCGACTTCGTTCGCGTCGAATTAATCATTTATAATGGCAATGTTTGCCAAAAACAAGCTTTTTACGTCAAGCAGTTTAAGCAGAATCGTCGTTAATCATTTACCCAACTTTTTGGAACACCCTGTATGATTTTTTAAAAAAATTCAAAATATGTAAAAAAACAAAATAAATTATGCGTGTCCAAGCGTTTTCCCGAAAGACTAACCGTTTTTTAAATAACAAATATTGTAATATTTGAGGGGCGTTTTCACCCTCTTGGAATATGAGATTCGAGAAACTCCTTATTATCGAACCTTTACACCCCACAGTCAATCCGTTTGGCAAAAATCAGCTTTAAACGTCAAGCAGTTTAAACAAAATCGTGATTACTCAATGGCCATATTTTATGAAACACCCTGTATAAATTTTTAAAAAATCTTAAAATATGTAAAACAACAAAACAAAATATACGTGTTTAAGAGTTTTTCCGAAAAACTCACCGGTTTTTAAATAAAAAATATTCTAATATTTCAGGGGTGGTTTCACCTCCTTAGAATTCGAGTTTCGAAAAATAACTTCTTATCGAACCTCTACACCCTAAAGTCACTCCGTTTTCCAAAAATCAGCTTTTTACATCAAGCGCTTGAAGCAGGATCGTGATTAACCAATGACCAGATTTTTCGAAACACTGTACACTGTATACATTTTTAAAATATCTTAAAATATGTAAAAAAAACATAATAAAATATACGTGTTTAAGCGTTTTTTCGGAAACTTGACCGTTTTTTAAATAAAAAATATTGTAATATTTGAGGGGTGGTTTTACGCCCTTGAAATTGGAATTTCGAAAAATCCCTTATCGAACCTCTACACCCTAGTATCAACCTGCATGCCAAAATTGAGCTTCTTACGTTGAGTGATTTGGGCAGGATCGTGATTAATCAGTGAGTCAGTCACTTTAGGATTTTATATATTAGCCTTATTAGTATAGATTTCTTTAAAAATAAACAGATAATCTATTAAAATGTAAACCACTCATATACTCCCTACTTCTAGATCCCAGTCCCAGATGGACAGCCTTAAGGACATCACCTGAGCTTCGCCCGTACAACAGCTTGCCCAGAGGTCAAGACATATCGAACTACCCATCCTTGCTGGGTATCAGGTCCACCGATACACCCAGGAGATCATCGCCTCAAAGACGCACAAAATCTGAAGACGTATACCACGAAAATAAAGACAATCCAGGTCAGTTTAACATTTTGAATTTTAAATATTGATGATGTAGATTTGAAAGTAAATCTTAATGAAAATATATTGTTACGTTTTTCGTCGGTTCCGTGTGGATAGACAGTCACAATTTATTTACACTAAGTAACAAACAATAACGATTAAAAGACTTAAAAAACTATATACAAACTATTTATAACTATTTATCTAGAAAGAATTTATTTTGAATTTAGCGCGACAACTGTACTCGTCTATTTATTTCTGTCCTCCTCAGGCCCAAGCCGTCGGATTTTATACCCACAGCTAAAGAGTTCTCGAATAATCCATAGATCATTAGGTGCATAGAGAAGGTTTCGAATGTTCTCGTATGTACTACTCCATTCCAGTGGAACTCGATTGTTCTCGAACGTTCGAATGAATCATTACGGCGTCTATTCTTTAATGCGATATTAAGGTCATCTGGGGGCGGGACATATAGTTAGGTTAGGTCGAGCCCACACGGGTCCGCAACAATATTGTTTTTTTGTCACCACAAATTAACTACAACAGATACGAAAGAACACCGAATTACGCGTTCAGGTTTCTATGACCTTCAGAAAGAGTTCATAGACAATCCGCATCAATGTATAATTTGGGTTATTATTTTGTTTGGGTGAAAATAATCTGCACCAATATATAATCGAGGCATACAAAAAGGTCCACAGACTTCGAGACATACGAAAAATCAAGTCCATTTAGCGTGTGTCGCAATTTTCACACCTTAAAAAATTAGTTTTTTATAAAAAAGAAAGACAGAACCGTAAAGTTCTGATTTCTTCCGTATCTAGCGCTGCTGATATACCAATACCAAATAAACTTTTAGTCACGTGATTAAGCTTGTCCGGCACAGCATTGCCCACTTTTATATATTTTCTTTTGATCAAAATATTTTAGCAAACAAAAAAATTAATTATAAATATATAAACAGTTATTATTTACATCAACAAAACTCACTTTCTTAACAGCACTTAAGGGACATAAAGGGCCATTACTACCGCTTTTGCTATTCAAAATATTCTAATAAAGCTATCTTGTACACTACGCACTAAAAGAGGTTCTAAAAAGAACAATGTTCGACTGCAAGGTCTGCTAGTAACATTTTCAAGCCTCAAAGTATTACAACAGTATTTATTTAAACCAAAAACTCGCAATACAAAACTAATGTGTTAAAACGAATGACAATGTCAGGAAATAAATAAATAAATTTGGCAACGTCACATTTTTTACAGCGGAGCTACCACCTGAATCGCCAGCGCGAAATTTAAATTCCAGTTGGCCAGCACAGCGCCGAATACATCCATGGTTGGCAACAATGAATTTAAAAATCGCGCCCTCGATTACGTAACTAAAAGTTTAATTGGTATGAAATATACGAGCATGAGTGTTTCTAGTTGTTTAGAAATAATTTTCGATATTTTTGTAATAGGTGAAGACCAGATACCCAAGAGACCTGTCAGGGTAAATCCTCTGATGTCTATATCTTTGAGGGAGACCAAGGAAGAGAAGGCACGTAGAAAGTCGCCAAGAGCAGAGACTGTCGTGGAGGTAGTTGTGGAGAATGAAGACAAAACTAAGGAAGAACAGGAAAGTCATTTAAGTAAGTATCAATTTTTTTCCATTTTTTTTTCAAATTATTATCTAATATTTGTTTGTTTTTGATTGGTGACTTTCTTCTGAAATATACAGACTGTCAAAAAGTTACGGATGGTTCTTGTTCATAAACATTTTTTTTAATCTCAACAAACAATTAAAAATATCCATTTGTTTGTACACATTTTTCTTACACCCTGTATAAACAATCATAACTGAAAGCAATTAACTAATACTCATTTTCCACTTTTCACACAGTCAAAAGGTACTTTTGAAAACTATATTTCGAGTCATATAGAGCCTTTTATCAACGAGTTTACAGGTAAAATGTATTTCCCATTCAGTAGTTTCAGTCTATGCTGCCGAAGCTATCGAAAGATTGTGATATAGTGATGTTCAAAACTATCGATTTCAAAAATTGTGTCTACAAATATCTCATTTATCAGAAACGTTATCTTTCATTTAGCTCATTTGCTAGTACAGAATTAGAATTATTAGAGTTAAGCAACTCGCATTTTCATTGGAGGACATCGTCATATTTATTTCAAACCAATAATCAACGAGAATATTCATATAATTTAACAAAATTACTGTAAACCACTATAAATACGAATTGTCGGTTAAGTTCAAAGTTTTTTCCCTTCTTAAATCAATTTAAGCGTTAACATTATTAGATATTTGCATAAAAGTGTGTATTTTGAGTGGTATTCCACAAAATTTGCAGGTTATTGAGGAAACAGAAAATGTACAGATTACAGAAATAAATTGAAAATAACATTTATATTAAAACAGCATTATATGTCACTTTTTCAAACATGTCTTTCAAATCCTCCAATTTAATAGCTGTTAGTAAGAAGTTTGCATTTTTTTTTCATAATATGAGGCATGTTTTTTAAGTAAGTACCGTTTTGGAATTAAAAAAAACGTGCAAAGATATCGCAATAATTTTATTTTTACATGAAAGCCTGTACCTTAATCTACTTTCCTTGTCAGCATGTCATAACGTGGCACCAGTTTTTCAATACCCTCCTCATAAAATTCTGCCGCCTGACTGGTTAACCACTGTATCACAACTGTTTTGACTTCGTTATCGTCTTGAAGACGCTGACCGCCCAGGTGTTTCTTCAAGTGCAGGAATAAATAGTAGTCACTGGACGCCAGATCAGGGCTGTATGGAGGATGATCTAGAGTTTCCCATTTAAAAGATTTGATGAGATCTTTGGTCCGATTAGCCACATGTGGACGGGCATTGTCATGCAGCAAAACAATACCCTTACTCAACTTGCCACGTCTTTTGTTTTGGATTGCACGGCGCGAGATTGTTCAATGTCTCACAATAAGATGCTGCATTGATTGTCTCATTACGAGGCAGAAACTCCACTAGCAATACTCCTTTTCTGTCCCAAAAAACTGTGCACATGATTTTCCGGGCAGAAATTGTTTGCTTAAACTTCACTGTTTTGGGTGATGATGAATGTCGCCATTCCATGGACTGTTGTTTCGATTCTGGTGTGACGTAGGCCACCCATGTTTCGTCCAGTAACAATTTTGTCTAAAAAATCTTCACCTTCATTGTGGTACTGCTCAAGGAAAGTCAATGCACTGCCTAAACGTTGGGTTTTGTGTTCTTCATCATGCACATTTGTGCGGCCATCTTTAAATGCTCTCACCCATTTCCTTACCATTCCATCACTCATAATGTTTTGTCCGTAAACTTGATTGTTAGCGAATTCGAATGTTTTCATGCTTAAAGCTTTGCGCACAGATCTCACGATGAATATCGATCGGTTTTACGCCTTTAGCACTAAGAAATCGTATGACAGCCCGTACTTCACAATCGGCGGGACTCACGATTGTCGGAGGCATCTTAAACACTCAATAAACAACGTATACAATGAAGAATCAGACTATACTGGCGTCTGTGCATAAACAAGAGATGTGGGTAACTAGCGCGCATGCGCGGAACGCCGACCGTAGCGCTGCGGCGGCGGAATCGCAAAACGGTGCTTACGTAAAAAACATGCCTCGTATATTTATTTATCAGATTGTAATAGACTGTGAAATAAGCATAATTGAATAAAAATAACTGTGATATTGACATGTTCTTTAGGAGACAATCCTGTCAAGTGCAATCCATCTAGAGCAGAAGATGAACCGGACAAAGTTTTGGAACGGCATGTTAGTTTTGATAGTTCCAAGCCAGGGCCGGACTTGGCGTCGTTCCGCAGCCGTTCCTTGTCCCAGAGCAAATCGAATAAAGATATGAAAAAAGTGCCTTTTACCACCAGGTCTCTTCCGGAAGAATCAACTATCAAGGACGAAAACGAGGTATCAAATTAAACTCAGTTTCAGCTACTGATGATGCTAACGTTCAACTGTCATTGTCATTTGATTTAGGGTTATATTTTTATTGACGGACATCGATGAAACAAAAATTAAATAATATAACGATAAATTCTTTTTTAAAAATGTTTTAAGCGGGGTTTCCACATACAAGGATTACTGGCGCCATTCAACTGGCGCCAGTTTTATTGTATGTGGAAACCTGTAAAATCGACTGGCGCAAGTTTAGTGGCGCCACTAATTCATGTGCCAGTGAAGTTCAACGCTCCTGTACTTTCTGGCGCCAGTTTTGTTTGTAAACAATACAGCAAGCATCTCCAGTCGTAAAGATGTCGTTTGTTTCAAAAAAGTGGTTTACTGAATTAATAATAAAGTTTTTGGAAGCCTACGAACAACATCCTTGTTTATGGAACAATAAAATAAGTGATTATAAGGACCGAAATAAAAGGGATGAAGCCTTCAGAAGAATTGTTGGAGTCATGTCTGATTCTCTCAGCAAATGATGTAAATTCCGCAAAGGCCAAAATTCGAAGTATTATGAATGCTTACACCCTAGAGCATAACAAGGTGTTAAAATCTCATAAAACTGACCGTAATTACATGCCAGTTTTAAATTTACTATAGACCTGTGGAAACGGGTAATTGCGCCATTTAATTGTGGCGCCGATAAACTGGCGAACACTGGCGCCAGTAATCCTTGCATGTGGAAACCCCGCTTTAAAATACTACTTTGAAAAATAGCTATAATGAATGGGTAACACATATTTTAATGTTTCCCTGGTTACTGATTCTGTGTGTTACCAATTCTCGCGATTTCATCGCTCGTGAATTAATCTTTTCGCTCTTGTATAAAAAATAACTATTAATGTTAAGTAACTTAATCATTTTAAACATTATTAAGTAATTTACCTTTGATTTTTTTCTTTAAATAATTAATATACTAGTAAATATTAAAATATTATCCAATAAATAATTAATATCCGAATAACGATATTATTTTCTTCAATTTATATATTTATATTTTCTATTTTTTGACATAAAAATGATAAATACAAAAAAGAAAGACAGAATATTGATCAGTCAGTGTCAAAGACAAAGATAATCAGATAGTCGAATGTCGCTGACGTGTCTTCAACAAAAATGAAGCGAATTTACTTATCTACGAAGTTTATAAGATCTAAGCCTAAAACGCATATTTGACATATAATGATGACGTAAAACATTGAACGATTGCTGAACAGAGCTTTAAACGCTCTAAACGCCTTTATATAACCTAACTTTACCTAACTATGTCCCGATTTATATACTATCGATCTTTTCTATTTTATCGATTCTATCAATCACCCCTCCCTACTAACCGCCGAATACATCAAACAATAGCGCCTCGCTTGACACTTTTATCTTTGCCCGTTTCAGGACGGCGTCGGCTGCGGCGACCAGAACCCCTCCGCTGCCACCAACGCTCCCCCCGCAGAGCTGTTGTGCGATATCGAACCGATCAGCGGCACAGTTTTCCGGAAAATGACGGTGCGACGCCGCCGCCAGGAAAATATGCGGAAACTGCCAGCGGTGGATGCCGGTGAGTGTATAGCCGTAGCCCGTAGAGGCTTATCTTGTTCTGCTTTGGCTCTTGTGCGTTCGTTTTTCGCTCCTACAGGTGTCTAACGGAAAAAAAGGAGGACTTGTTGTTGAGACAGTGTAGGACTGGGCGAATTTTAATATTCATAATTGGAGTGGTCAGAATTAAAATTGATCAAGTCCAATTTCCTACTATTTTAAGCAGCTATAGCCTGTTTCTGTTTGGTTTCTGACTATTCTGTTGATTCCTTTCAGAAGTGAACTGGATTTTGTCCATAAATTTAATAAAATAAATTTAAAGAGTTAAAAAACAGTCTGTTTTGATAAAAAGCATGACAATGAAGCAAAGTCTGAACCGTTTGCCAAGTGAATCAAATTATCAGCCATCTTAAAGGTCTGATTCTATCGATTCTGAAAGTATAGTTTGATTTATCATTATTATCACTTTTACAACATCAAAAAGTTAGGCTGTTTTTCTTACAAATACTTAGATATCTGACATGTTGATCTGAATAAAACTGCACGAGAAAGAAAACTCTTATCATTTCATATAGATGTAACGGAACACACTTTAAAAGGCAACACATGAAAGATCTTCATCTCTTTATCCCGCCTATATATTATAATTTTTATAAAAATTGAAGAAAGCACTATTAATAGACAATGTAAAGTCAACAAATCCCTTAATGACGAAGAAAAACGTACCGATGAACCAATTTATATCTAAAATTTCAAATATTTTCAGAGATAAAATGGTTCCAAAAGTCCAAAAAAGTATAAACAAACGTTCTCTTAAAAATTACCACAGTTCTATTTTGAGTTACTTTAGTTTGCAATTATACAATTTAAAATATAATAAACCATTATGTCAAGTGTTCTTCTCCAGCTTGTTTTATTTTAAATAAGTGACATTAAAAAACTTTAACTCTCATTTTCTCTCTATAATTATCTTCTAGGACTTGATCCGGTTCACTTCTGAACCCTTCAATTATTAAAGACCACAGAAAGTGTGCTGTAATTGAACCTAATTGAAGTTATATTTGAATAAAAGGATTAAGGAAGGATTATAATGCTATCGAGGTGCAGCCTTGACAGTTCTGTTTGACGATTCATTTGACACATTTGAATTTCATTTGAAATTTTGTGGATTTGTCAGTCTTTACTGCGCTTATTTTATGTTATTTATTATTTATTCTTCAACTGGTAGTTGGCTAGAAGTAGTAAATGTAGAAGATACTAATCACTAAACAAAATAAGACAACACATACCTTATATTACTAACAACGCCAAGAAAAATGTACTTTTATAAAATTTCACAAATGTAGAATGTGTAAAATAATTCATTCTCTCATCCCATCGACCCAGCTGTCATAAATAAAACAACAGAACTCTATTCCATACATACTAAAATCAATCGCCAGTTGAAATCTTCACGAAAATTCTGAATTGTACAGTAACAGTAGGGTAAACATAGCATTTCACTCTGAAGGGATAGATTCAAATATGTGAAGTATTACAGCGGTAAAACTTTCTATATTTATCGTCCCTTTGTCCACGAGCTTTCCTGTCGATTATAATTTTACGTGGTATTTTAGGGAAACCCTTTAATAGCGAGTCGGGAATGTCGTTGTTTTGATATCCTACCGCATGTCGGAGATATCCATATCCCTCCCTTTTCAATAATACGTTTGGGGAAGTCTTTCCAAAGGGTTCCAGCTATGCCTGTTATCTTTCGGAATTTGACATACAGACCGCTAGAGTGGTGAAAGGGACCGTAACTATTATTTTGTTTCGAAATTTTTTGGTGTGAAAGTATAGGGTTAAAGGGTATATACAGGGTGGTCCGAACTGTATTCCGGAAACTTCGGCAGCATATTCTGCAGATAAAAATAAGTAAAAAATGCCTCTTGCCAAAAATCGCTACGAACAACCGTTCTTAAGATATATAGAATAGAAATAGTCAATACATGTTATTATTGACAAAAAATAAACATGTTGAGTAGATAGTTATGTCATTGAAATGATAAATTTGGAAACTTTTTATTTTTTTTAAATTAATCATAAATTTTTCTTCCAAAAAATGATGAAAAAAACAGTTTCTATTGAACTTTTGGCACAAAAACATTTCAAATTTAAGATTTCAGTCTAATAATTATTTAGTCAACATGTTTAATTTATGTCAATGATGACAGGTATTGATAATTTTGGTTCCAAATATCTCGAGAACCATTACTCGTAGCGATTTTTACCAAGAGACCTTGTATGTATATTTTTTTACTCACTAGTTTTATACAGGTGCAGACGAAATGTTATTACTGTTCAAACTAATTAAACAATATGTAGGTGGCGCCCTCTACAAGTAAGAGTCATATTGACATCAGGATCAAATTTCTCATATCAAAAAACTCCTAGACGCCAATTTTCATCCAAATATTGGCGTTACTTCAAAAATTATTTGGAAAAATCGAAATAAAAATACAACTTCTACGCCCTGTATGTCCTAAACTAAGAATTTTAGGACATACATGTATACGAGCTTTTTTTGCTTATTTTTATCTGCAGAATATGCTGCCGAAGTTTCCGGAATACAGTTCGGACCACCCTGTATATAGTTCATATCAAATAAACTTTTAGTCACGTGATTAAGCTCGACCGGTACAGCGTTGCCATATTTATTTTAGTCGAAATATTTCTGGAAAAAGAAATTAATTATAAATATATAAACAGTTATTATTTACATCAACAAAACTCACCTCCTTAACAGCACTTAAGGGACATAAAGAGCCATTACTATCGCTTTCCTGTTCAAAATATTCTAATAACGTTGCGATGAGTTTGGTTTGGTTTGGTTGCAACACTTTTTATTTAAACCAACAACTCGTAATACAAAACTAAAGTGTCAAAACGAATGACAATGTCAGGAAATAAATAAATAAATGTGGCAACTTGACATTTTTTACAGCAGAACTACCATCTGAATCCCCATTATAAAATGTCGAGTTCAAATTATGGAGAGTAAGGAAGCTCTCACTTCAAATTATTGAATGTCGGCGAGCAAGAATTCATTCAAATTATTAAGGGGAAGTTATATTAAATTTTTTCAATTTATCGAGTATTTTCTTAACGGACTTCAATATATCGAGATATTCAAATTAACGAGTGTCAAATTATCGAGAGTCGACTGTATTCGTATTCCTACGCTTTTAGTCTAGTGTGACGAAGTTATTAATTTCAACAGCCCTCTGAAAATGTATTAATCAATATATTCTAAAAATTACTAATAAAATACACACAACCAAACTTATATGGAATGACTCTTTATTTCTGACTAAATTTCTTGCATGGATAAAAATTGGTATATAACTTTAAGATAAAGCTTTTTGTTGTAAATCAACATGATAATAAAGAACAAACGACTGCTGCGATTTATTTTCTTTTGAATTTGTGTTCAGCAGTAAAATCACGATTGTCCGGTAATTTTCATTCAATCCAAAAAATTAAAAATGCCTTATGTTGGATTAACAGATGTATAGAGGGGAAGAATTATTGCTCTAACCGAACAAGGAATGCTCCAGAGAGACGTAGCAGAGATAGTAGGCCTTACCCAGGGTGTTGTATCGAAAACATATGCAAGGTACTTGGAATTAGGAACACACAAGGATAGGCCCAGACAAAGTCGTCAAAGAGTCACAACTGAACAACAAGACCGCCTTTGTGTGCTAAATTGCTAGAATAAATCCCAATGTTTCTCATCCAGAGCTACAAGGACAACTTCTGGCAGCTACAAATGTGAACGTTTCAGTTGAAACCATAAGAAAAAGGCTTCGTGTACAAGAGTTTTACAGCAGGAGAGCGTTACGGATCCCACAGTTATCTCGGCAAAATAAAATTGACTCCGCTAAATTGATGCCTTCAACATCAAAACTGGTCAACTGGAGAATTGGCAAAATGTTCTTTTTTTTCGGATGAGACCAGAATTGGCCTAAGATCAGATAAGTATCGAATTCGGGTTCTCAGAGCTCCAGGAAGACGAGCGAGACTCCAGGCTGCCAAATCTGTACCAATATATAAAGGAGGAACAGTATGTTCTGGGGAGGTATTATACTAGGAGCAAAGCTCCATTGTTACCACTTCAACAAATTTTAACGGGTCGGAGATATGTTGATTTGGTGCTAGAACCACTCGTTAGTCTTTGGAGAGCTGCAATTGGGGATAATTTTAACTTCTTGCACGATAATGCACCTCCCCATATCAGCAGAGTGACTAGAGAATGTCTTGAAACGGAAGGTGTCATAGTTTTGGACTGGCCTGTCTATTTACCAGATCTAAACTCTTTCGAACACTTGTGGGACTAGCTCAAAAGAAGGGTTAGAGCTCGTCGAAACAATCCAGGAAATCTCGCACAGCTTATTGATGCAGCATTAACAGCATGGGAAAACATACCCCAAGATAACGTGGATAATTTAATAAGAAGCATTCCAGCGCGGATAGAAGCTTGCATAAGGGCTAGAGGTGGCAACAAGGAATATTAAAATTATCAATTTTCTTTTTTGCTTATGCTTTTTGGCCATTAAAAATTTTAATTTTAATTTCTGTTTTCAGAAACCAAAAAATACCATTTTGTTTATTTTGGGAAATGATTATTTTTTTTTAATTGCTATATGGATTATTTTTCAATAAAAGTCATTGGTAAGGACTGAGTTTTATTCATAAACAGAAAAGTTTCATACGTCTCAAAAATTATGAAAAATAATAGATGATTCCATATAAGTTTGGTTGTGTATATATTTATATTTATTTTGTATCAATCTTAAGTCATAAGTATGCAAAAAATATACCTTTTGATAATTCAAATCATTTCTTGGTTAATTAATATTGCTTAAGTTTGTGCTCAAGTACAGAACCACTGATAAGTTTCTATTAAGTCAATGGCTTCTTACTAACAAATATGAATTTATCTATTCTCTCACTAAGTTGTTTCAGTGGGAATTTCCATTTCAT